TCACTGGAATGGGTACATGGTGAAGAAATACTGCAACACTCTCAGAAACATATAGTCTGTGAAAAGGTAAGATCTCTTTTCATTTCCCATAATCTCTTATCAACATCGATTGCCGTTGATCTGGTTTTAAATGTAATGTCAGCTGTAACCTTGATGTTGTTAAAAATCCGTCTACTGAATCAAATACAATATTACCTTTTCTGAAAATTCCCATATATCTTCTCTTATAATTTTTTCGTCACTAAACTTCGAGTACATACATTTCGTCCTATCCAGTGTGTATCTTTCTTCCTCATCTCTTTTACGATTTCTTCTCAATTTATCAGAGTACAATGATTACATCTTCAGACATTACTGTACGTCAGTCAGTTGTTATTAATTTGTGAGTTATATCTATATATATCTAGAATCTTTAGGTTGACGAATCAATAAATTTTCCCCTCACTCTATTTTTTCTATCTGTATTTTACTTTTGGGACTTGGATGCGGCATTACTTTTTTCTTGGCGGTTGGGGAAAGAAGAATGCTGCTGGCTGCCGGCCCCTCTTTATATCAATCACTATTTTTTCTCGACTGTTGGGGACGGAAGAATTTCTCGACTGTTGGGGACGGAAGAATGCTTTGCTTGCCAGCGGCCCCTTTGATTATCTATCACTCGCCCCCATTGGCTGGACTTCGTGGCTGTGCCTCACAGGCTAGCTATTTTCCCACTAATCAATCTGCGATGCTGCTAGCTGGCGGTCCCTATTTATTTCTTCTCACTCGCTTATTTTCGAGCTTGTTGATATGCCCTAATTCGCTGAATTCGTGGGCGCTTTTTCTTCCACTGCTGGCTGGGACTTTCCGGATTTTGCTTAGCGGCTTGCTTGCAACGTGCCAGCAGCCCCATTCTTTTCTTCTGATGCTTATTAAGCCCGTGCTTAATTTTCTTGACGGCTTGCAGCTAGTCTGTCCACACGCTGTCCCTCCCCCCTATGGTTTTTATTTCGTTTTCATCTTATGCCCCGATTGGCTGAATTCGTGGGTGTGTGCGCCCTGATGCAGTTGGCCTATTTCTCCTTCCACTGGACTTGCCGGCTTTTGCTTAGCGGCTTGCTTGCAACTGCCAGCCCCATTCTTCTTTCCTCAACCAACCCCGTCTGTTTCTGCTGGTTATGAAAACTCGAGACCCTGGTCGTTGGGTATTTTTCGTCATTCCCTCAGCCACCTTGTCTGCTGGCTCGGTCTATCCTGGTCGTTGCTAGTTCCCACGACTGGCCCGTCGCTGGCTTGCAGCTGCTGGTGTTTTTTGCCTACGTCCCCATTCTTTTTTCATGCTGCCTCTTCTTTCCTCAACCACCCCGTCTTTTTCTGCCGTTGCCATTTCCCACTCACCTACCTCCCTCCATCTTTTTTTTTTACTAGCTCGTGCTTAATTTTCTTGACGGCTTGCAGCACACTGTCCCCTATAGTTTTTATTTCCTTTTCATCTTTTGTTGCTCCTCGTCAAGTCACCTTCGTTCTTTCAGCCACCCTTGTCAGCTGGCTCGGTCTATCCTGGTCGATTCTATTTCGCTATTCCCTCAGCTCAGCAACCTATTTCCGCATTCCCTCTGGCACCTTGCCTGCTGGCTCGGTCTATCCTGGTCGTTGCTGTATCCCGCTCACTTCATCTCAATTTCCCTTGACTGGTCCGTCGCTGGCTTACTTCGGTCATTCCACACGCTGCTGTACCCTTTGGTTTCTATTTCACCTCCATGTTTTTCTTGCCACTCTACTTTCCTCGATCACCCCGCCTAGTCTGCCAGTTCTGAAACTCTGTCTAGCCTGTGGGGTTCGAACCCTCGTCTTACGCTTGGCCATGTCTCTACGCTTTCCCTGTGCCACTGTTACTGACGAGGACCCAGGTATTCAGAATCATACTTAATTAACGACGTCACGCTTGGAAGCTCACGACGAGGCCAATTGCTCCGAAATAAATACATTAAATATACTGCGTTCATTCAAAGCAGGTATATAAATTCCCGGATGGAAGTCGTTTACCGGGGACTATCGTGTGCGCTGCTTAATTATTGGACACGTGGTGGACATAGCGATCGTTTCAATATTATGTTGTTGTTGTTCTTATTGTTGTTCTTAGTGTCCTTGTTCTTTGACACGTTTTGAAGAAATCGCTTTTCTCTTCGAATACTGGACCAATTGCTTTGAAATTTTAAGAGGTTGAAGATAAAATTTTTCTCCAGAATGCTATTACTTTTTCGCTATGACGTCATCAAAATTATTCCCACTGGGTGGCGCTACGTGTCCAAATATTTGAACATAGCTCTCTTGTTTAAAGTGCGAATATTTGTGCAGACAATATCTCGTTTTTAATCGTAGTTTATTTAATTCACTTTTTACAAGAAAAATAAGTTGATATGCAATCATCATGACAAGACGCATAAGACAATTTAAGTAGTAAATCAATCAGCAGACCAAATTTCATACTATCAGTGGAGAAATATGACTGTAAACCACTAAAACGGTTAATTGCTTGTGCCAACTGAAAGGGTCCGCTGATGACGTAATACTCAGAACTCGCCAAAGTAATTTCCCATTAGGTTAAAGGCAATTATAGCGCTCTGTGTGCTTATTCTGTTTTATGTTACATTATTGTTTTAATCGTTATCAAACTACGTAATGACGAACTGGAATTAAATGTCAAAAGCAAAGTTTAAACAACCTACTCGCGAATGCGCGATGAAGGCAAGTTCTGGAATGAGTCTCAGTAGGCTACTACGTCATCAAAGGCCATTTTCGAACTGCGTTCGATTTTTGTTCGAGCGGTTTTTAAAAATTCATAAGTAGAAAACTAAGTCGACTTTATGTAAATAGTAGGCATCAAAAATTCTGGAAAAATGTATAGAATCTAATTCACTAACAAAAACATATGTTAAACGATGTTGGGGTGTGACTAGAGAGAAGATAAGATTCCCAGATACGATAGCTTTTGCATATCAGTGGATATACTCATACAGATGCTTGTTTGGAGGGAAATTGGGCCGACCTTTCGACGTCAATGTCATACTAAGTTTCATAAAAACCACGTTTTGAACATTTGATTTCGAGCCAACCCTAATTACACGTATATATATATATATATACAAAAATACACAACTAAATTATGTTGGCATTTTTTTTTATATTTATATACATTGGGCTGTTTATAGTGTTACAAAACAAGCCATAAGTAGCTATTTGTAAGATCCCGTACGCTTGATGAGTAGCGATGGCGGAATCGAGTCTGGATTCGATTATAAAATCGATTCTACGCGGAATCGACTAGAATCGAATCCGATGTATTGCTTGCATTACTTAGCATTCTTATTGATGAGCAAGTAACTTCATTAGTCACTATCAGTTGCAAATTCCTTTGTTGAAAGTTGTGCTTGTTATTCCTCGGGTATTCAATCACCTAACTATTATAGTTAATAATTTTATTACATAACAAACTGCGACGCTAGGTGTATCTAAAATCAAGCGTGTACCTATTTTTCCAAATTTTTTTCAGGGCGCTTAAGCGCGCTCCCAAGTCCAGTCTTGACGTCGCGGCCTTTTTCTGGCCCGGGAATATCCTTCTGCTTCGAATTTTGGCCTGCGGTCAATCAACTTAGGGAACCCCTGTTATAAAACAATAGGCTAAGCGCCAGGTTCGAATACGTTCTTATTGGCGCACTGTCATTAAATGATTGTAATTACGTCTGTCTAACATTGTCACAGGGCATACCTTTTCTCAGCCTAGAGTTGCTTACTTGCTTGTTTGACGTTCTTTATCAACTTGAGTTTTATTTATATATATTTTTGCTGTTCGGTGCGCGGCCAGTAATTCAGTTTGACAATCTTTATTTGGTTATTTCAAGTCGATCTAGTTTTATTTTACATTGCTATTAAAATATCATGTCCGAGTATATAAATTCTGCTTTATTAGAAATATCTCATCAATCTCGTAATATAATTCACATTAATCGGTGCTTCTTTTTTTAACCAAGCCAAACGCAAAAATTACCAGAAAGAAGTTTGTCCATCGACAGGCAAACATTATGCTGAGAAGGTGGGGCTCATATGATTGAGAAAACGAGTTCATTCCGTGTTCCGCCAAGCGAGATTTCACGACAGCTGAATGACGTACTCGGTGAATTTTGTTCATTTATATCAAAATTAAACGATCATGTATAACAGTTGACAATGCTCATTATAATTAGAGGGAAATCTCAAAGAAGTTGTTTACCAAATCGCCAAAACAACATTTAAAAATAAAAATACTTTCTCGCCCAAAATGGGGGAAATAAATCAAGAATGAGATAATTGTGACGATGCCACACCGTCTTTTTTATTGCTCTAGTGCTAGTGTATTTTTGTCAGTCACATAAGAGAGATATAAAGTTGAGTTGATGACGTTTATATGAGGATGATTCGTCCATATTCTTGTTACGTCTTTTTACTGAAATACAAATAACACTGGAATTGTTTGAATTTAACTAAAGTTGTAAAGTAATTTGTATACAAGTTTGCTGAAAAAAAGTCGCGAGTCGTGGATGATTTCAAGGATTACCGATTATTTATGTACTGTGTATAACTGTGTTTTTCGTATGAATTCGAGGTCTAGGGTACCAAAGGTATTGAAGAGGAAAGAAGAGTCGTGAGCTATCACTGGCACGACACGCTACATGTGAATCATTTCAAATATACGAGTAGAATACCAGTTGAAATTGAATATAAGAAATCTATTTGAAATGCATATTACATTAACAATACCAGAAAAGCAGCAAGGCATGAGCTATACATTTAGTGGTATCTATAGATTAGAAACTGATTAATCAAAACCGATACCTAAATTTGTCGTGAGCATTAACTTTTTAACAGATAAAAATTTACTCCCCAGTGTAGTGAGTGCAAATCATTTTTGACATGAAATATGATCATAATATGAAAGATCTTAAAAATCATTTGATACAATAAAATGAATTTCGAACCTCACGCACATTGGTTTCATTATGCTTCAGTTTTTGATTGAATCCAAGGAACGTATCTTGCAACATTTGTGTAATATCCCGGAAAGTCCGAGCCACATGTAAATCCAAAGCTTACTATTCCTACTTGAACCCAGCATGAACCTTCAGCCTCAACATTTTTCACCTGGAATGTAGGAAGTACACATTGTACTTTAATATTAGGGGTTTTGGTATTTGTCGATGTTTCTGATATGCTCTTCAAAATTACTAATATCACGGATGTTTCTCCCATCTCCGATTTTCTTGTTCATTGGACATGAAGTGCATGGATTGCTGTGTTGTTACAATTTCTCAATACTTGAAGATACAAGACGTCGACAGAAGGCTATTAATTCTATTTTTACTTAACTTTGAGACCTCTGAGATGTGAGATCACATAGTTCGCCACAATTTGGATGCTTTATTTTAATTACCAGAAAATTCTTTTTATTTCGTCATTAGTCTATATTTTATTTTGCTCAGCGAACTCGGTGCTACGCCTTACCAATTGTCGAGTCATGTATGTCAGCCCCAAATGTCAAAGTTTATAGAGTTCGAGCAAACCAACACAATAATATGGGCATATCGATGGGTAGTCTGCTTATAACACATTGGGTAAAAATTCCACCGATGCGATAATACTGCCTTACTTATCAGAATTGGCAATGGTAAATCATGGGAGAATATTTTCGGGTTCGAGAACTGTTAGTTGATCTTCATTGAATGATTAGATTGATACACTTCCAAGTATATTCAATCCGTTTGCACCCTTGTTCGGTTTTTGTAATTTAAAAATAAATTGATTACCTCTCTCACTACTGGGTTCCCGGTATCTCCTGCACAAGCATTAATCATTTTATTTGGATCTCCAGATTTGCAACAAAACATATTGTCTGAAAATATGAGAGTATCCAAGCTTTCTGTACGTCTAATTTTCTCTGTCACTCGTTCACAGCTAAAGAATATGAAATCCGCAGTGAATGAGGAAATTACGTTTTTTAAATCATATAACGTACGTTTGTCGTCTTTCGATTTGAAGTAAAGCTTGTCGAAGATTTCTGGATGGGTTAAACGTATGACTGATATTCATATGTCCGAATCCGGTTAAGACAACTTTTGCGTCATTGCCAAGGAGTTGTTTCTCTGTTAAATAAAATAAGTCAAAGTTTATGCATTCATCCGTTAGTATTTTGTTTGTCAGATTTTCTGAATACGCGAAGTATCTTTCTTTTATATATATTTTATTCCAAATATTTCTTTTTTGTGCAATGTAATCCATGTTCACAAATTTGAAAATTTGCTTAGAAAACTTTTTCAACAAGAGCTGCATTCGTCCGTTTATTGAAGCCTTAAATTGGATATGGCTTGATCAAAATTCTGTTACCTCACGATAATGTAAAGTGCCAAACCTTCTATCCGACATTTCTCTGATTCGCTCATTCCTTCTTTTATCAATGATATTCCATTATCATCCACCAATCGCTCTGCTGTCAAGCAAGTCCCAGTGCAAGGCAGACATACGGGGCGAATGTAGTATCCAAATGTTAATTGGTCAGCCCCAATGGCTTGCATGTTTGAATCAAACTCAGGCCCAAGTTTTATCTATAAAGTGAAATATTTCAAATATCAAAACACTTTGTGGAGAATAAGATTGCAATAAATATGTGGAAGGCCGACCTTGAAAACATTCCATACAAGTTCCAGATTCAACTTATTGAACAATACCATTTTTGGGAGGCAGTTATAATTCTTATTCGACAAAACTTATAATTTATTGATTTCTTTAGGTTTAGAATCTTCACTTTAGAATCTTCACTGTTTCGGAATTTTTTGCTACAGTATGATTTCATAAATGTTTTTTTTCTTGTCAGAAAATTGAACTCTTACCAAAGCAATGTCGTGTTCGAAATTATTACCCTCTTCATTTGAATATTGTTCGTGTGGAATGTAGTCTCCGATTGAATACATTTTGATGGTAGATGTGACTTTTTCATTGCGAAAGGTAGGTCGAGTGAATATCCCTGAATAATTATTATTGGTTTATTTCGGAAAACATTAAATGGAAAAGGGAAAACTTAAATAGAATCTTATGAAACCCTCGTTAATGATCAAAGTGAAAATTCCACCATCTCTGCTCGAAGTAAAATATCGGCAGAGAAGTAAAAAACAAACAAGAATTCAATGCTAAAAATAGGGATACGAACGTCGCGGTGCCGGTATGGCAAGGCCTAGGCCCTAGGGTTAAACACATAGTTTACTGAAACTATCAGCGGGCAAGCATGACACGCACAATTCGTTGTCAGATTTTGTAAAAAGTGTGATTTAATAAAACATAAAAAATTTAGATGAAATATGCATTAAGGATGAAAGTGTGTGTATGTGATGTGACTATGTATTTCAATGAAGCTATCGCTCTCTAGCCGCTTTAACCATCTTAAAGCATTGAAATTTGAATTGAAACGCGCGAGTTTTCCTTAGAACAACCATCACCCTAACAACAACAGCAATTTATCACTGCAATCCATACGTGAAAAATAGTAGATATAGTATAGCTAACCGACTTCCTTCATTTGGATAACTTATCAAACAGCATCTAATAACTGGACTATGTTTGCTTAAAAGACATTTTCATTATCGGGAACGAAGTGGGCCTAGGAAACATGTTGCTAAATTATTATTTTTTTTATCTTGTTGCGGCGCAATTTTTTAAGTGATATTGAAACGAGTAATTGACACTAATAAACTACTAAACACATACCTTCTTCTATGCTGTAGGCCTGTATGAAAATGCAACTTGTTGCAAATTTGCAAATGCAAATTTGTTTTACTTATATCACCTTCGTGCACGCAATATCACAGCTTACAGGTATATAATCTTACCCACAGACACCACATGATTCTCCAACCATCCAAGGTCCATCAATTGTCTATCAAATATATGAGCTGCCGTTAATATCCATTTTTTATTCAAAATTGAACCTCCTCCTCTCAGATGATTCTTCCCTAAAGTCTAAAATTAATGTCAAAATTATCAAGATATTTGAACTCTGTGAGCCGGTTTTCCGGCTTGCCCGAGAACGCTCTCTCCCCCTACAAGCCGAATTTCCGGCTTGCGCCTCGTGTAAAAAGCAAAGAACTTTATAAATGCAAAGAACTCTTGATGTTTAGAAACCAAAATGAGTATTCAAATAGGTTTCATACTGCATGAAAGTCGGTCATCGGGGCTATTAAAGTGCGTATGAAATTAAGTGAAAGCAAATTTGAAATACCAAAAAAGTTCCGATTTCTCAAAGAAATAACCTAATGTGTAATATATATACAACAACGACGACAATAAATATAGAGAATTTGAGTATCTTTCTGTGGACACTTTCGTAATGATTTTATGTTAAGCAATTCAAATTTTATGGGCAAATATATTTAACATAAACCAGATAATGGTGGTTTATTATTAAATAACAGAATAATTAAAAGATGAAACCATAATGGATGTCCTATCACGTTGTACGACATAATATATTTCATAAGATCGTAGGAGTTGCAGTGTGCTGGCATGAAAATATGCTAAAGTCGTTCAATCTTCTTCTTCCAAAAAATAAAGATTTCCTTAGTGCCTGTCAATCGGGGAATCCCGATAAGTTATCTGGGGGGTTCGATTAGAGCTGTTGCCATGTACTATTTGGGATCGTCTCATATAACTTTCATGTCTCTTGGAATTTTATATGTGGTTCAGGTGGCAAAGCCATGCTCATTCATATTAAAAGTGTTCTAAAAACGTAATTTCCTTAATAAAAAATAAAGTTAGATATTGAACCTCGGGTGTCGCTGCTCGATAACCATTCCTGGTTCCCCGCGACTTCCGTTCCCCAGTAAAAATGTGTTTTCAGTTTTGTATTTTGTTAATTTCGTATGTTATTTCTTACTGAATGGGAAAAAATAAACTTGACTATGACTATGCCTGGTGAATCTTACAGCGGAAATTCCTTTTAAAAATCATACTGTACAGCGTACAGTTTCATATAAAGCGGTGCCGAGATTACAACTTATTGGTACCTCGATAATTGAATAAGACCGAAACATGTGTAATACATTTCAGGTGCGTTTCTGGCCTCAGTATGACTCCTGAATCAGACGCTTCCAAATTTGATGGATTCAGACAGTGAACGATGAAGTTCGAGATCTTTACTTGCTCCTGCTAATATTTCATACAATCTTATATTCTGATCTTTTGAGCAAGGAAATACTCACTTTTCATTGATATTTGAACAAAAAATTGGCGATCAAACGAACTATTCTCCAGGAAAGAATTTCTAGTTTTGTTAGACCATTACAGTATTCATTTTACGCATCCGGTGTTTCAATGTTGACAGGATAAAAAGGATTAAAGTTTTTCGAAACTCTTCGACTGATGTCACGCTTAGAACGTGCTCACAAGCTATTCCGTAATTGTTACCCTACGCCAGGGGTCACCAAACTACGGCCCGCGGGCCGGATCCGGCCCGCGACGTCATTTTATCCGGCCCGCGGCGTCATTTTATCCGGTCCGCAATAACACACAAAAATGGCTAAATTTTTTTCCAAGGGAGATTTTCACGAGCATCGTCGTCTTTGTTTATTTCGTAACATTGGCCAATCAGCAAGATGCAAAAAAGCGACGTAATAATAGGCCTTTCCGCGTCCGCTCAGACACTTTTGTCACCCTGACAGATTTTCAGTCGTGGTTGTAAACAAAACTTCGTTTTTGCGACTTTGAATGCTACCAGTACGTAACGTTTTCTGCGAAACACTCACACTCGTGGCGCGTGCTTTCGACGAAACTGTTTGTTTTTTGTGCTAAAATAAACGTCGAATGTGCATTTTGTGCAGTACTGTAATCCCTCGCGTACTGCTCCAATTTCAAAAGCCACACTAACTTTTGTACTGCTTTAATGCGGATATTCATGTAGGTATATTACAAAAAAATTGAAGTCCATCCGATTTAAATAAAAACTGCTCCAGTGGAAAGATCTGAGTAAAAATAGAAAACAATACCAAGTTTATAATAAACGGTCAAGAAATAACGGAGATATCGGAATTTTAGTACCGCTCGACAGGCCAATTTTTTCTATAATGATTGTATTACTTTTTTGATAAGAACTGAACTAAATATGGAAAAATAACAAATATCAATCGCTAATCTTTCGATGTGCGTCACATCTATGGTATATTGAGACTATTTCAGACTTTTATTCTGGCAACGGTCATTGACACCGCCGAAAGATCGTCGCAAATAAACGCTGGAGTTGTGCATGATAGTTTGACAGTGGTTCATTGTGGGTAATAATTAACGATGTGCTGATTGTACGAACTTCATAAAAATTGTATCAAGTTAGGAAAGAAATACACACGTCCACATACATTTTATTGGTGTCCATAGACAATATCATTAATTTGCACTACGTATAACTGGAGCGTAATTTTTAAAAGCGTCGAATGTTGGGAAATTTATGCGCTAATGAAAAAAATCAAATACCAGATAATAGTTGTTTATTTTATCTAAATTATGTCAAAATTTTATAGAATTCCAAGCTATAGCAGATAGTCGTTTTTATGAGAGGTATTTCAACTCGGCGTAACGGTACTTAGCAGACCGTAGTAGTATATATTTACGAGCAGACGTGATGCGTACATTTTTTGCCGAGGATTTTTGTAACATTTCTAATTCATGACAGCAACGTTTTGATAACAGCTAAACTCAGAATAATTGTCTAGATATAGAAATCTTGTTAATTTTTTTCCTAGGATGTTCTCGTTCTATATTCTGCGATATTCCCAACATTTGTGAATTTATTGTATTGCATTGACAAAAATATTCATCCGGCCCGTTTCAACACAATTTGAGTCATACCCGGCCCGCGGTCAAAAAAGTTTGGTGACCCCTGCCCTACGCAATACGTCTCGATGGTACGTAGCAACATTTTCGTGACGCTAGTCATGTGATCGGCATTTGCATATAGCTACGTAATCCGTGCGTCATGGCCACTCATCGAACATCATCATCCGACACAAGAATGCACAATTGGATATTTCGCTATAATTTTTGTTATACAATAGTCAAGGAAATGATTCAAGTATCAGAGAAAGGCATATAGGAAGCTCTATGTGAACAGGTAAAATTGGTAAAACCAAAAACGACATTTGGGGCCATAACTCACTTACAAACAGAAAAAAAAAATATTTAGACTAAAAATAATTCCTCACTTTTTGACAAACTTTATTTCAAAATTTAGCATTTTATCTCACTGCACGATAAAATTTGCTTTCGTTTAAGATGTCTGTCAATACCCTACCCATAATTGTTGAAAAGTTATAAACGTTCAAAATAACCAATATTTTAATATTTCATCGTCCTATACCGATAAGACGCCGCGAGATTTCAGGTTGAAAAAGTAATTTCGCTCAGAGAAGTCAGGGTTGAAATAGTTAATTAAACAAAACTGATTTCTATCTGGTCATTATCGGTTGGCAGGAAACATTACACATATAAAAACATTCGGTTGGCAAGAAACATTATCTAAATTGAAGCTTCCCTACCAACCACGAGCGGTTGGAAATTATGATGAGAACAACAATAAAAAAAAATTACGCAAAATAAAATATTACAATCCCATCAATGAATAGTAATGTTTATATGCATGATGAAATTATGATAATCAGTGTTTAAATAATATAAAATAGATTAGATTCAAATATTCATCGACTTCAAGTCACCATGGATATATTTGATCAAAGTAAATATTTAAAGTGGAATGTGTGGAATGTCTGAAATATATATCCCATAAAATATAGTCATCGGTCATTTTAGTAATAATTTCGCGTCAACTGCTATTGGCATTTCGATAATTTGCACTAATTTTTTAAAAATATATTTGTGTTTTACCATCTCTGGTGTTCGTGCTTTTCTTGTAATTAAAACTTGCCAGGGCCAAGCATTTTCAGCTGCGTCTTCTCCACCTATTGATCTACGTAATCTGGTTTGTTGTTTTATGCTTCCGACATCACCAGCTTGGCCACATTTCGCAAAATCTGTAAAATCCAAAAGTTGTATTTCTCCGGTTGTAAATGATATAATAAAAGATCGAAACGGCTCTATTTCAATAGCCTTTATCATACCAAGTTTTTAGTAAAACTTCGATAACTGGAACTCGGCTTCGAAAATTTTCCCGACGAAGTACAATTGAACATTATTTCAAACAATTACCTTGAAATTTAATCATAGAATTTTTCGTGATAGTTGTGTGTGTTGAGTTGTATAATTTCCAAACCATAAAATGTTTTGTATGGACTTGAATGTTGATGACACAGTTTTTTTTCTTACTATTCGGAAAATCACTGGCTACAACAATGAGTAATTCTTACCAAATTTTAAATCGGTAATTCTATCGAGGTAACTCTGAATTTGATAAAAATCTTCTATATAAATGTAGTTTTCTCCATCTTTTGATGAGAGTCCAACCAATTCTTTTAGATTGGCACCTTCTTGACAATGCCTACAAGCTGTTATGCTGTAAAACTTAACAAACGAAAGGCAATTATACTAAAAATCTAGTTGGATGAAGAAGAAATTTGAATACGATGAAAAGTGAATCATATAACATTTTCGGTGTCCATGAATATTATTCCCTGATCCGACTGTCTTTGTATTTCTAAACGGGTATGTCACAATGTAACTATAATGCTGAAAGTAATTAGGGCGGATAAACTAGAATTAAATTATAGTAATATGTTTCGAGGTAATTTTAAAAGGCTACTGTCACCTTTGTTCCTGCTGAAATATTAGATATATCTGCACAATGTTTCGTAGCCTATATTGCCAGACTCATAGAAATTCGGGGTACCACAAGTTAATTTATTTTGTCGAAATTGCCATTTTATTCGGATATTTCGGTTTATTTTATGAGCCTGAGTATTGTAGGACTTCAATAAAGTTAGTAAAACAACTACGAAATATCGCATACCTCAATATTCGGACTGAATTGAGCTTCTATTCGTTTTCTCATTATTATGGGATCAATTCCGTCAGTATGTTCTCCTGTAAAAGTATTAAACAGAATATGCTTGCATTTATTGCGAATTATTTTCAACGTAAAGCTGCAAATTTTTTTATAGATGCAAAAAATCATTACTTATTTCGCCATCTGATTCAATCTTTTTTTTTTGTTTTTGATAAACTATCTTGTCGACAAAATATAATATGATAAAATGGCCAATGTTGTTGTTAAACTTGGGGTTTGCTAGTAAAGCGAGCTGCTAATGCCTATTTGTCATGATTGCTTTCCCTCATAGAAAAATATTCTTTTACCATCAGTGAAAATGAAGCATTGTCTTTTATTATTTGCATTTTTCGGTTGAATATTCATTCGTTCAATCACATTTTCAAGTTGTAACAAGGCATTTGCAGTTGCTGTTCCAGATCCTGTTATTTCCACGTAATGATGTCTGCTGAGGACTGGAAGTTCAAAATATTATATTTTATTACATTGACGACTTTCAACTTTTTTTAACTGTGCACTTGCAGCAGAAATGAGACCACGTAAAATGGGTCAAGTGCAGTCTTCGGTTTTCTAACTTTTTTGTTGTACATCACATTATTAAGGTATAAATTTCCCCGCGACGCAAACTAACTAAAAAGTTGACACATGGTTGGGTATAGAGGAAGAAGGTACAATTTCCAAGTTGATATACTGGTATAGTATTTGACAACAGCTATTATTATATAGCTTGCAAACGAACGCTTGTGCTAAAAAAAAATTTTCTACGCACTTTTGTGCCTCGATATTAGTCGATATGCGCTAGAAAGATTCCCGACAACTATGGTGTCGGTATGGTTATTTTACAATGTCACGTTATGTTGGCGAGAGTATCAAAAAAATAAGGGAGATTTACAACTTAAGTTTAGTTCATATATACGCACAAAACGAAACGTTCACGACACAATTCGACACCTCTTTCATGGCACATCAGTTTGCGACACGCAATTTAGGAACGTCTGTTCTAGTGAAATTTGCTAACGCATTAGGGAATTTTGGCTTAAACATTGAAAATATGAATTTGAAGCTATAGATAAATAAAATAAACGCCTCTGAACAGTCCCAATCAATTGACCATATCAACAAATGATGTCATACTGTACCTCCTGCGTAGATTTGGTCCAAAATTAATAATATCTGCTTTATACTTTTCGGACTAGTCGAACTTTCAGAAATATCCAGGATCGAAAGATATTCCGATGCAAAAACCATTATTCCGAACTGTAAAGTCCCCTTAAATCCTTTCATCTAAATACAAATTCAGTGAAAAACATGATAGTTGACCTTGGTCTTGGAAATGTAAAAAAAAGAATGAATCACTTTTTACAGGAGTATCTCAATATTATTTAAGTTAATATTTGAGGAAATCAAATATTAGAGTTAGTTGAAAATAAAATATACTCATTCAAAAAGAGTCATTATTACCGCACTTGTTTTTGGTGAGTAACTATACCAAAGCTCGGTTTTGTTTATATAAATTAGCAACAATACATTGCAGTCTAACACATTAAATATCAGCCATGAGTTCCTAATTAAATTTGAATGGAAAACTTTTCTAATTTGTTTAGATAAAATAAACTGATACGGTAGTTTTAAAATATAATTTACTTCAATTTACCCGTCGAACAAGTCGCTTTGCAAATTCTATTCCGTTTTTGAAATCTTTTGGTCGTCTCAAAACGCTTTCTGAGATCTCGAACATGAGATAAATCTCTTTCCCATCAATTGCATCTGCGCTGATGGGCGGGCCAAAATTACGACGTGGATTTCGAAGAGCTAAAACAATAAAATTCTGGTAATTAAAAATTTCTACATCAATTATTTTCCAAATAATAAAATATTATACTATAAAAAAGCTAAATTTAATAATTTTTGAAGTGGCATATAAAATTATTTTAGTTACCACAATCTCATGTCTAGATTTGAAATTGGGCATCGAAAGTATTGAGAAATTGGAACGATTGATGCAAAGGTTTCCTGAACACCTCGACAAGAGTTGGCAACAAGATTAAATTCCACTCTCATCTTGTGTGGTTTCTGAGACACAGGAAAAGTTTGGATAAGCCCTTATACGCAAAATTTCCAACCCCGAAGTAGTCAAAATTCTCCAATGTTAGAAGCTGTTCTTTTATTACTGAACTAATATTATTAACGCGATACACCATCTAAAGCCTAAACCATGAAGATACACTTGAAAATTTGCATTTCTGCTATGACAAATTGACGACTCCGTAAAGGGTATTGTTGTAATGCAAACTATTGTCAGAGTAATTTAGTCTGTTGAACAAACATGATCCGCAAATTCTTGTGTATCTTTTTGTGAATTTGTGTGAATACATGATTTCTTCACGAGTTTTGAAGCAACCACATTAACTACTATACGTATTGTCGCGGACTGATAATTCATGTACTGAGTGCTTGTTAGTCAGAGGAAGCATATTACAACTCAGCCCGTCAAGTTTCCAGATATTACCAACTTGTTCTAACAAAATAATGTATAATAATTTGTTATTTATTCAACTTAATGCACCGTTTTAGTCCCATTTATTGTTCTATGTGATTATGCTCCATTATAATCCTGGTATGGCAGACTATCCTAAACACAAGCACGCAACATGCAAATGCAAATATACGTTTGAAATATTAATTCTCATTTTAATTGGGGGTCGATTTCTGCGGGATTGACTTTCGTAAATTTGAGTCTTGCAAATCGATTTTATGTGAACGGTAGAATAAGCAAACACCATATAGAGTAATCATTATATCAGTGGCAATTTTTAATTGAGAAAAACAATAATTGCACCGCAAGTTGAATATATCAATCTGCAAATACAATAACGTTTTATGTAAAATAAAACAGGCTGAAAAGTAATTCACACGTCTTTTGAAGATGTTTTACTGGTCGTCAAATTAATTATAACAAGAACACATCATATCACAGTTATGAACAATTCAAATTTAGCTATTTATCCGATTGCATCAACTCCTGCATGTTTTACGTTGTTGTTCCGACAAATTATTATTAGAAATCTACGCTTACGTGAATAAAACACATTGAGAAATACCACATCGAATGATGTCTAAAATGCGTACCAATACATTGTGTGGTGTGAGTTGACCACTTTTCATTATTGAGACATTTTGGAGGTTTGCCCGTGAGCAAAAATCCTTCTTCGCATGTGTATTCAACCACGTCATTCATATGCGCCACGTCATTCATATTCGGAATCTTCCAAATTGAAACTGGCAACATTTTTCCTTTGTACGGTCTCAAAAATCGATAGTGTGTTGAATAAATTACATCTGGGATGGGACCCTGACATGTAATTTCTAATAAAAATAAAGAGAACGGTGTTGAAGTGACAGAAGCAATAGTTGCAGAAGCATTAGAAGCATCAAGAACATTGATAGAATATGGACAAACAGTAGTTAGTAAAATATGGTATACGTGCTTCTGTGAAAGCAGTAATACAATGAAATAAAAAGAGTCGAATTGACGAGCGAGATGTTCATGTTGTTATGCCATACATGATTTTTCCCTCATTGTAAACATGAGTGCTATAAAGCAGTGGTCGGCAACCTTTTTCAAGTGACGGACCGGTGAAGCCTGACAAAAATTTTGGCGGACCATTTTTATACAAACGAACTTAGATACAGTTATAAGCATATGGAATAAATTATACGAGTTACGTAAAATTTATTTGGCATATTCAAAAACAAAAGTGATGCTATTCAATCGACATTTGTTTGCTGCCCATTAACCTTTTTTCCAATTTGGAGACATGGTCGGTAGTGATACACATAATATGTTGCTCTTGTCCAGCCTAATTCCGTATTTCGTCGCTGACAAGACTATCTCACCGTTCAACGAAGTTTCTAAGAATTCATTGCCTCACTTAAGAGCTTAGTATGACAAAGGAGGCAAACTGGAAATTTCGTTGCTGTCACGTACGGTTACAAATCCAACAGCCACGTTGTTAGCGAGAATCATTTTGTTCAAGACATCTTATTTGGACTGATGTGGAACTTTCTCACGCAGAGGTAAAATCGATGCAGCATTATTGCAATATATTGACGTGAAAATTATTTGTAAAGACAGACATGCTGCTCACATGCGTTGTGTTTGTCTACTTTGCTATTGTGTGATGTTTTTAGTTGTAGGGTTTGTGGTTGTTAGATTGCAGAGGTGTTATTTTGGCCTTGTGAATTTTTGTGTCACCCTTCTGCGGACCGATAGTAACCTTTCCGCGGACCGGCAATGGGCCGGGGCCCGGTGGTTGCCGACCACTGCTATAAAGTATACACCTTTGTACATACTATATCAAATAAGAAAAGAAAATAGCATTATTAACTGTTCCATTTTTATTACACCATAATGTATAAGACGGATGTACCTACGCACTCCGGAAGCTCATTGCTCCAACGGCGATGCCCACTGCATCTCGGTAGAGGGCCAACCAAACGTCGTCCAGGTTCGCATGTGTAGGTTATCATGTCCCACAAGTAGTAAGGAGGCCTTACTCGATCAACAATCTCCAAACGCTTAAATCCGTTCCTGTCAAAAACTGTTCGTCTGATATTCCGGTAAACAGCGTGTTCAACGGTTGGTGGTTCATCTTTACATATTGATTCTACAATACAACATCTAAACTTCACAAAGTAATAACTGACATTGTTTTCAAGTTTAAAATGTTTGGATCTAATTAAATAATTGCATGTCCACGGGAATCCCATGGGACACGTAATCACGTATGATTCAGGGTGCTTTGATGGTAAAACATTTTGTTATGGACTTCGTGTCCATATATTTGAGCATAGCTCTATTGCTGGTTATAAAAAGCAAAATATATTCAGCTTCAACAATGTACTTTTTGTAGGGGCTGATGGACACATGTATAAAAGTTATGAATTTAAAGTTGACGAAGTAAATAAAATTGTTGTTTTTCGTGTCTATGCGTACATGTAGTCCTATTTAGCAGGCGCTAAAACTAAATTTAACAATTTGTGTTGAATTGTATTCCAATGGGATGGGACAGAAAGATATGTGCCATGGTCAGGCCTGGCAATTGCACAGTACAAAAACTTACTAACGTTACGGGTCCAACTATATATATAATCTTCAAGTATAATCTATTGAGAAACAACATATTGACCTTGACAAAAGATTCTGGACGTGGAAGAAAGTTTTACAGGGTGAGGCAAAATATCTTTCACATAATAAATTCTTACTTCACAATGCTGTTGCAGGTATTCACTTAGTTTAAGTAAATTTAAATCAATTCAAACTTCTTTAAACAAGTGATTTTTGTTACTTCAGATTGTTATGCGTAGATGCTGCAAAACTTTATGATGCCAAAACTCAAGAATCTTAAAAAACATGCAACGGTATGCTTTCAATAAGATGACGATGGAAAATCAATGGATGTTTTGCGAGGACAGTTTCCAACACATTCGATTTATTTTCACGGCGATATGGGATGGCCATTAACCTTGTGGATTATTTTCGGTTGGGTGTATTTTACGAGGGATGTGTAACAGCACCGACCAACAACCTCTAATCGACTGAAAGCTACCATTTGTAAAACAAAAAATAGTTTTTAGGGGAACTGACTCAGCGGGTGGGGAAAAACTTTAGAAGACGCTTACATCAATGTATTGTAGATGGAGAGACTATGTTGAAGACTTTGTTTTCATGAAGAAGTTTACACAAAAGAGTTTTTCTTGTTTATTTTTTTGAATAATGAAATGTGGAAGGTTTTTGCTTCTACCAGTACCAACAAATATGAAAATATCATCATAACAGCTTGGGCAAAATTTTAAGAAAACTGACAAAAAAAATTCTCCACAAGCTTTTATGATGATATTTTTATAATTGTTGTCAATTAGTTTTTATTTTATATTGATTTTAATTTCCTACTAGGATTGATGCAACTCGTTCCACACTCATCATCGCATACACATTGCTTCAATTGACCTTTGCATTGTCGAGTCGATTCACAACCTTGCTTGCATATATATCCGTTTGCAAACCACCAACGATAATTTTTTTCGCACGTGGACCCTGATATATTTAAAAAATATAATAGTATTATATTACCAATCTCCAATATATTATATTGGTTAACTAATGTAGCACTGTCTGTTACGTTAATGATCATAGCTGTGTTGGAAAACCAGAAATCTGATTTCGCGGTAAAACAAAATTATGTTTGAGGTTAGAGGTTACAAAAACTCGATTTAAAAAATCACTATAATATATATAAATATTGATTTGCCATAGTAACAATTCGATTCATCTTCTCCGCTGCGGCAGTCTGCTATTCCATTACAAAGTCTAGCTCTTGATATGCAAACTCCGTCCGAACATGTATATCTTCCTGGACCGTCGCACAATGATGCTTGGCATGACCCTGTGTAAAAAGTATATTGCAATAAAAGAATATTAAGTTAGAGCTTGGATGCTTTGTGGGAATCGTAGACTCGATATTTATTTTCAATGTTGTGGAGTTGGGGGTGACTATTTGAAATATTTATAAACCATTGCTTTCACCATTACTATAGTGACCTAATAAAAAATACACACTACGGGCATATTTGGTTTCAGAAAAGATCAGCTGTAAATACCGGACATGTTGTCAGCGACTATGAACTGACACTTAATTATACTCTTTCTATTATATTGCTGAGGGTTTCATAGTAATTTTATGCTGTGTTCTAGCTTTATAATTATGCGAAGACAGCCTTTAATGTTACTGAATTGAATAATTCTCAAGCAATGTTCAAAATGTCCTGAACGAATCAAGGTCAGCGAATATTTGCACATTAGTTCCAAGTTTTATTGCAATGATCCTGATCTATAATCTAACGTATTTAAATCGAAGGAAATCGATAAAGATTGCACTTACCGTGCTCAAAAAGGAGAACGACAAAAAATAGGCTAAATAATATTGTTAACATTTTAGTGTAAGTAGCCAAATATCAATCAAGTATACTGGAATGCAGGTATAAATAAATCAAATTAAAAAAAATATATACAGGATATTAACTCATTCCAAACTTTCAAAAATCCGTATTACAAGGGTATGACCTCCCAATTGAGTAGATCAATTGAATTTTTTTACACTTGAACTCACATTTTAGTGCATGATTGTATCCCTAAGTTTAGAGAAACTAGAAATTTTTGCACAAAAGTTATGTTCTCTCCAGAATCTAGTCTAGAATATGTTTCAAATCATCTTCTAGGCCAGTGGTTCCCAAACTGTGGGTCGCGTGAAATTTTCCGGGGTCGCCTAATTTGTGTCAAACATATCACATCAAACATATTCACACAAGTGAATATAGGATTTGAATGTTCGGCTCTCGGCAGGTATCGTAAAAAAACTAACGGATTTTTCAGAAATAACCCGACCATTTATTGTCTTATCTACTCCAAAATTGCTCAGTAAAACTTTTATGTGGTACCGGTACCCAACCTCTCTAGCTGGTCGGCAGGTACCGGTATCAGTAAATGTAATTGAGTGACAGTGATACGAGTGCCAATGATATTTTCCTTTTAATAGCTTTTTTGATCATGTTACATCCGAATAAGTAGTTGACCGGATAGGTAGTTGATCGGATTTTTTGCCAGGCTGCGAGAAATTATGTCGGTTTGTTATTTTGTACCAGTGTAGTTGCTTGGTTATCGAATATACGAAGCATAGTTGCTATATTTGGCGATTGGCCATTATTTAGGTGTTCGGCGAGTATGCTATTGATTGCCAGGCGGTGTCTTGGCCGGGTAATTACACTTAAGGTTTCGATCAGTTGCGAAAGCGCTTTGTTAATTCGCGCACGTGTATAAAATCTACGACTACGAGTAAAATAAAAGTGAATTTTTGTATTGCAATATTACGTATTTAGACGTTTCATATATAGTTTCAAAGCGTTCCGAGCGGTCAAACACAAAACCACAAGTTCTAGCATAATGAAAGGCACTCAAAAGATGCGATTCCGTACACGTTTTTTTCCTATTTTACTTCAAAAATAATAATGGAGCAATCTATAATATGTTAATATCGAACTAAAAATAATGAAGACACTGTTAGTATATACCAAATAAGATTTTAACTTTATGTATATTTAGAATCAATCTCACTATTTCCTAAGTATCGTACGCTTCCTTACAATGTACAACATTTTATTAAGTCCGTCTATGTTTCGCCAAAGAACCGTTATAATTCAGATCTAAGAGATTTTTACATCGTGGTATTCATACGATGCCATGTGTTATCAATTCTTCTGAAGTTTCTCCGTTTTTCCGGCGCATTGTCGGACTAGTTCATATATTTTTTTGGCCAATGTTCACCGTAAACGTCCACTTGCAGTCGATATACAGGAACATTGTTCCCATTGAGATATTTAAACTGATATATAGTACTGATTTTTGAAGTTGCTTAACGTTTCTGGTTGTGGGGTCGCGAGTATCTGTAGATGTTGAATTTATGAAAATTGGGGTCGCGAAAAAAAAGTTTGTTCTAGGCAGTGCAAACAGGCTTGTAACCGTTGCGCAAATTTGCCAATTCCTGACTTAGATTTCTGCTGAACCGCTCTTTCTGCTATCTGGGCATGTAAATCACTAAATAACTTTCTACATCAAAATCGAAGTAACAATTTCATCCCGAAAGCACCAAACTTACTCCCCGATTCAAAACGATGTCTAGACTGTATTGGCAAAACCCGGAGATGTCGCGGAACAACTGTTGAAAACCACTACATTACACAAAATTACGTCTACTCAAAATTTAAACCCGGAGCAATATTGCACCATTATATTCTCTCCATTTTTTAATATTTCGTTGGGAATTTTTACAGCAGAAACGAGCTGTTTTTTGCAAAACTTTCGTGCGCAATATTGTTTTCTAATTGCCTTGAAGTTTCAGATGGAAAGAAAAAACAGGAAACAGTTGATCTACAATCTAGTCTAGCAATATGCATTCTGTTCGTGCATGGTGAATACTTGCCAGCTGTATCAAACATGATTTTGTTCAATCGAAATGTCATTCAAGTTTGACACAGCTGCCAAATAAATACTATGCGCGAACAGAATGCATATTGCTAGACTAGATTGTAGATTAACTGTTTCCTGTTTTTTCTTTCCATTTGAAAGTTTAATGCAATTAGAAAACCATATTGCGTACGGAGGTTTCGACGAACAGTTCGGTTCTGTGTTCAAATTTATTTTTGAAACTTCTAAAATTCCCAACGAAATATTAAAAAATTGAGACAAAATAATCGTACAATATTGCTCCACGTTTCAAATTTTGTGTAGGCGTATAATTTTGAGTAATGTAGTGGTTTTCAACAGTTGTTTCGCGGCACCCCAGGGTTTCGCTAATACAGTCTAAGCAGCGTTTCCCAGCCTGGGTTGAATTTTGGCGCGGGGGATGAAATTATTACATCGATTTTTAATGTAGAAAATTATTTTTGCATGCTCAGACAGAAGAAAGTGCGTTTCAGCAGGAAACTAAGTTAGGGATTACAAAAGCCTGTTTGCAATGCCTAGCAGATGATTTGGAACATATTCTGGAGAGAATATAACTTTGTACAAAAATTTACAGATTTTTAAAACTTCGGGGGACAATCATGCACCAAACGAAGTTTAAGTGTAAACAAAATCAAATGATCTTTCTACTCCATTCTCACGGAAGTCATTGAGAAATTGATAGAATACTTTTTTTGGGGGTCACCCTTGTAATACGGATTTATGAAAGTTTGGATTGAGCTCATATCCTTATTATGATTTTGAATCATTTATTATGCTTAGTTTTTATTTCAGAATACTTAATTAATATTTAGCTACTTACACTAAAATGTTAATAATATTATTAAGTCTATTTGTCGCTCTGTTTATTGGGCACGGTAAGTGCAGTCATTATCGAATTCATTCCATTTGAATGAGTTAGATTATAAATCATGATCATTGCAATGAAACAGCGATCTTATTTAGTATAATTAACCTTATAATCGTTTATACTCAGAGCTTACTTTGTTACGCTAATTCATTTTTAAGTTAAATTATATTGGACCACAACAAAAAATGGAAAGAATTTTTTTTTTCTTTCGCTTCGACAACTAATATTAAGCAATGAAACTTGGTACTATTGTGCAAATATGCGCTGACCTTGATTCGTTGGATTCATTTTGAACCTTGCTTGAGAATTATTCAATTTCGCATAATTTTAATGCTAGAACATAACATAAATGACTTTTAAACATCTCCGTAATAGAGTAGAGAGAGTATAACTAAGTGTCAGTTCGGGCTACATCAAAGTTCCATGCCCGTAGTTTTTATTCCTAATTAGGTCAATATTGTAGTGGTAGAAGCAATGGTTTATGAATGTTTGAAAAGTCATCCTCTGACTCCACAACCTTTTAAAAAGTTATCGAGTCTATTCCGAATTAAACATTCATTCAATATAATTTTACAAAGGGTCATGCCAGGCATCATTGTGCGACGGTACAGGAAGATATACGTGTTCGGACGGAGTTTGCATATCAAGAGCTAGACTTTGCAATGGAGTAGCAGACTGCCTTCGGGGGGAGGATGAATCGAATTGTGGTGAAATACCTTGGCAAATCAATATTCTTTGATTTTGCATTACAATAGTTACTTTTCGGTATCCAGTTTTCATAATCTCCCAGCACTTCGAATTTATTTATGTAGAAAAATCTTTTAAACTATAGTTTCACCACGAAATATTAGATTCCTGGTTAGCTAACTAAAATTTTTCAATCACAGATATTCACGTTAAAGACAATAAATAATAAAATATTACGTTGGTAATACAATATCAATATATTTCCCAACTATAGCAGCGTCCACCTGCCAAAGAAATGATACTTGGTGGTTTACAAATGGATACATCTGCAAGCAAGGTTGTGGATCGACTCGAGAATGCCTATTGCGACTGAAGCAATGTGTATGCGATGATGAGTGTGGAATGAGTTGCATCAATCCGAGTAAGAAATCAAAATCATTATAAAATAAAACTAATTACCAACAATTATGAAAATATCATTAAAATAGCTTGCGCAAATTATTTTTTAATTTTTTCAAAATTTGAACAAGCTCTTATGGTGACATTTTCATAATTAACGGTACAGGGTGAGACAAAAGAAAAGTCATTTTGTGTTAACTTCTTTATAAAAACAACGTCTTCATGTGGCGTTCTCCAATATGGCCTCCCTTACAATAATTGAGGCGTATTTTAAAGTTTTTTACGACACTCTGAGTCCTTTCCCCTAAAAATTAATTTTTGTTTTACAAATGTAAGCTTTCAGATCATTAGAGGTTGTTGCCTGTGGGTCGGTTGGTCGGTGAATAACTATGGCAATGCCGGGAATTCATTATGTGGGAGATTTTTTGCCTCACTCTGTAAAACTTCTCTTCCACTTCTACGTCTTCTATAATCTATTGTAAGGGCAATATGTTGTTTCTCATCAGGTTGTAATTGAAAATTACATAGTTAGACCCGTAACGTTTGTAAGTTATTGTACTGTGCAATTATACATGAAATCTCAATACTACTAATTGAAAAGATGAAAAAAATGTTGCAATTATTTAAATAGATCAAAACATTTTAAACTTGAAAACAATGTCAGTTAGTACTTTGTAAAGTGTAAATGTTTTATTATAGAATCAATATGTAAAGATGAACCACCAACTGTTGAACACGCTGTTTACCGGAATATCAGGCGAACCATTTTAACTGCAAACGGTTTCAAGCTTCTAGAAATTGTCAATCTAGTAAGACCTCCTTACTACTTGTGGGATATGATAACTTACACATGCGAACGTGGACGACGTTTAGTTGGTCCTTTGCCGAGATGCAATGGGCATCGACGTTGGAGCAATGAGCTTCCAGAGTGCGTAGGTACGTACACCTGACTTATACACTATATACAGTAATCGTGTAACAACATGAACATCTTTCTCGTTCATTCGGCTCTCTTTGTTTCGTTGTACCACTTTGTTTTGACAGTGTCAAGTGTACGGTATTTACCTACAACTGTTTGTCCATTTTATACAGTGAAACATACCTGTGGTCTTAACCTACGTTATAGCATCACTTTACAACTAAAAAAAACATAACAGAAAAATTCTAAACATATCAATAGTCTTGAATTGATGAAATGTAAGATTTGACGCATTGTGTGACAGAGATCAAACTAAAATAATGAAAATAAAATATGAAAAATTCAAATGCAAACCGTACAACTAATGCTTCTGTCACCTCAACACCGTTCTCGTTATTTCTATTAGAAATTACATGTCCGGGTCCTATCCCAGATGTAAGTCATTCAACATACCATCAAATTTTGAGACCGTATGGAGGAAGAAAGTCGCCAGTTTCTAATTGGCCATTCCCACTTGTGAATGACGTGGTTGAATACACATGCGAAGAAGGATTTTTGCTCACGGGCAAACCTCCAAAATGTCAGGATATTACCAAGTGGTCAACTCATACCACACAATGTACTGGTACGCATTTTACGCATCACTCGATTACTATAATTTAATTATAGTACATCTATCGAAGTTATATTGAGACATACTTCTTCAGTAAAGCCACGGAAGTGATCGCAGCAAACGTTGACGCAATTTAATATTCTGCTAAATAGCAAACCAGTTTAGTATAATAGCATTTCATTTATTAAGTTTTACAGTATAACAGCCTGTAGGCATTGTCAAGAAGGTGCCAGTCTAAACGAATTAGTTGGACTCTCATCGAAAGGTGGGGAAAACTACATTTATATAGAAGATTTTTATCAAATTCAGAGTTACCTCGATGGAATTACCGATTTAAAATTTGGTAAGAATCACTCATTGTTGTAGCCAGTGATGTTCCGAGTAGTAAGAAAATGAACCGTGTCATCAACATGCAAGTCCATTTTATGGTATAAAATTATACACATCAACTCAGATAACTATCTCGAAAAATTCTATGGTCAAATTCTAAGGCAATTGGGTGAGAAAATGTTCAAATGGACTTTGTCATGAAAATTGTGATAGCTAAATTCCAGTTATCGAAGTTTTCCCAAAAAATTCGTATGATAAAAGCTATTGAAATGGAGTTTTTGAATTCTTTGTATAATTTCTTGTTATGTAATTTACAACCGGCAAAATAAAATATTGGAATTTTACAGATTTTGCAAAATGCGGCCAAGCTGGTGATGTCGGAAGCATAAAACAACGAGCTAGATCACGTAGATCAACCGGTGGAGAAGATGCAGCTGAAAATGCTTGGCCCTGGCAAGCTTTAATTACCGTAAAATCAGCAACACCGGAGAGGGTAAAACACAAATAAATATAAAAAAATTGGTGCAAATTATAACAAGATAACAATAGCAGTTCTAGCGAAATTATTACCAGAATGCCCGATAAAGATATATTTTATTGGTTACATATTTTTAGGCGGTCCACATAGTCCACTTTAAATAGATACGTGAATCAGATAATTGCATGGTGATTTGGTGTTGAGTAATAATTGAATAACAGAATCTATTTTATATTATTCTAATGCTGATTATCACAATTTTATCGTGCTTATATGTATTACCATTCATTGATGAAATTGTAATATATTTATGTTGTGTGAATCTGTATGTATTGTTCTTCTCATCATAATTTCCAGCCGATCGTAGTTAGTAGGGAAACTTCAATATCATCCCCTGACAACCGGTAGTATTCTGTTACTGTGTCGACATATTGTGATATTTTTCTACAATAATATGGTATTTTCTGGTTATTTAAAAAAAATTAGCTCGTTTTGGTTCTACTTTAGTTATATTATTTTGATAGGTCGTGTTGGGCTGTTTTGGTTATTTTTAATTTGGTTGTTACAAATTTGGGATCGACCGACAACCGTTGGGTCTTTAGGTAAATTTGATTTGCAATTTTGGTTTGACACTGGAACATTGTCCGTGACGTAATGTATACAGCTATATATTGTTTAAATTTAATATCTTGATAATTTTGACATTTATTTTAGACTTTACAGAAGGGTCGAATGTTGGGCGCAGGTTCAATTTTGAATAAAAAATGGATATTAACGGCAGCTCATGTACTTAATGATGCATGGATGTACCCTGAATGGTTGGAGCAATATGTGGTGTCTGTGGGTAAGATTATAAAACTGTGAGCTGTTATATTGCGTACACGAAGATGATGTGAAATATGTCTAATAGTAATTAGGAATTTATGCTATTGAATATCAAGTAAAGACGAGATCAAAGCAGTAATGTATGAATACGATCCCACATATATATTTATCTTCACACGTGACCCTATAACGTTGGAATATGCGCGATTTCAGAGCAAGCTCACAAATTGATGAAGTGTAATATTTTCTTAAATCATCTATATTTCCGATAAAACACCGAGTACCATAAACCTCACAAAATGTTTAAAAAATATGAATAGGTAATAACATTTGAGAAAATTGTTCCATTACTTAATATTGGTTACAAAATTACAGCAGCAACAAGATTAAAAAAAAATAATTTAGCAACATGTTTCTTAGGTGTACTTCGTTCCCAATATCATGATAAAGTTGTTGGATGTTGTTTGATAAGTTATCCAAATTAAGGAAGTCGGTTAGCTATGCCATATCTACTATTCTTTACTATGCATTGCAGTGATAAATTACTGTTTTTGTTAGGGTGATGGTTGTTGTTAAAAGAAAAATAATATTAATTAAATCAACTTCAATATCCAATTCACTTTCTTCTGAATTGCTTCCGAAATTCACATTCCCGAAAATCGACTTTTCCTCTATAAATGTACTGTGGTTTTTGCAGTCGAAACAAAAATCTGTGCAATTTAGGTTGTTTTTGGCACACATGCATAAATTATTTTGACGCTTACATTTGCAGTTTGCCAACTCAAGAACTGATTTTGGGGCTGAAAGTAATTCCATCACTTTAATTGACCCGCAAAACACCATCATCAAGAACCTATCCATGACCAATAGGTGGGAAAAGTCCTGAAGTCCTGCCTTGCCAGTTTTAAAAAGACGTGCTCTGGTATCATTTACATTTTTTATATCCTTCCCATACAGCGAACAAACAAATTCTCCAGCTTTATTCAATAATAGCTCGTTAACATCAAAAGATCTTCATAGTTGAGAAAAAACTCAATGAAGTCATCCAACATCAGCTTGATTTGCAGTTTCAAGTTTAGAAGAGTGCCAAAGTATTTCAATATAAATAGCCCATCATCTGTTTGCAACTGTTATGTTTCTCATATGTCTGCCTACAACTTGATACATAATTTCTCACCTCTCAGTCGCTTCATTTCTTTAAACCTCTGCGTGCCTTATCATTGCTGCCAGGTTCTTGACAACTTTATGAATTTATACAAACTGACTTCAGTAAAATCGGTTACTTTCCCCTCTTTTTCACAAACGTGCATTACACAAAATATGCATTAAATCAAATATGTTATAGCCTATATAGTAGTATAAGTCTGCTGAATACTCAAGAATCGTCAATAAATTAATTATAAGCCTTTCATACAAGCATGAAAATACCGTATCGTTGTTTGTGGCATATCTTTCTAGGTCTAGCCTTTCTTGAAATTACCTATTTAAAAACGTTATTATATAAGCTAGTGCTCAACTAAAATTGCTATCTATGGTAAGGATTTACAAGTGTTTAATAGCTTACTTATACTTTTTAACAGTTATGTTTCACATAACTTAACCACCGTAATAATACCTGAAAATAAAGATGGGGGGGGGGGGGGGGGGTGAAGATTGGGGTACCCAACTCAACGCAAGATCGAGCATTAACAATGGTTACATCATGCAGAAGTCTGCGTTCATTGGCCAATGTTGCCGGAAAAGCAGAGAATATGGGGCAGAGCGTAGCACATATTTCTTGTGGTAGAAACGCATTTTTTGTAAAACGTGCAACTTTTGGAAATGAGAAAAGGTATTATTTGTTACTGAATTTCTAAGGAACATTTTAACATTATTTCTAAGTAGTTCTCTCATGTGCGCTACAAGACTGAAAGATAATCGGCCTTGTCTCGCGGCCTAAATCTTATTCCTCACAAAGAGTCGAAATATTTTACCTTTCAGATACAACTTGGGCCTGAGTTTAATTCAAAAATGGAAGCCATTGGTGCTGAATATCATGGTAAAGATTGGGGTACCCAACTCAACGCAAGATTGAGCATTAACAATGGTTACATCATGCAGAAGTCTGCGTTCATTGGCCAATGTTGCCGGAAAAGCAGAGAATATGGGGCAGAGGGTAGCACATATTTCTTGTGGTAGAAACGCATTTTTTGTAAAACGTGCAACTTTTGGAAATGAGAAAAGGTATTATTTGTTACTGAATTTCTAAGGAACATTTTAACATTATTTCTACGTAGTTCTCTCATGTGCGCTACAAGACTGAAAGATAATCGGCCTTGTCTCGCGGCCTAAATCTTATTCCTCACAAAGAGTCGAAATATTTTACCTTTCAGATACAACTTGGGCCTGAGTTTAATTCAAAAATGGAAGCCATTGGTGCTGAATATCAATTAACATTTGGATACTACATTCGTCCCGTATGTCTACCTTGCACTAGGACTTGCTTGACAGAAAAGCAATTGGTAGATGATGATGGAATATCATTAATAAGGGAAGGAATGAGCGAATCACAAAAATGTCTAGAACAGTGGTTCCCAAACTAGGGTCCGCGGACCTTTTGGGGTCCGTGAAGTACTTTCCGAGGGTCCGCGAAAGAAATCTGTTGGATGGCTCAAAGTTTGATAATGCAAAAATTAACTGCTTAAATTTGGAAAGACACATTTATCGCATTATGATGCTTTACAATCTCTGCTGAGGACACTGATTCTTCACTTTTTGTTTCGATTAGGCCTTCCCGATTGTGACGTCACAAAGCTATGGCAGCTCCTGCCACGAACAAACCGCGGCGTCTCATGCCATGGTTTAATGGCGCTATAATTTAGTAATCAGTATTATCGCCATATTAACAAAGTCATGCGCCGTATTTTTGTTTAATATACCAAAAAAAGTACCAACCTACTCATTGTTTGTCACCAACAGGGGCAGCCTTGCCAATACATCCGACATGCCTTGGTTACGGCATCAAAATTTTACCCGACATGATTTTTTAATTTGCTGCCGTGGTACCGGTTTGGGGCAGCTAAAAATTCAGTCGCCGTGGTTTAACCGGAGCTCCAGAAGTAATCTATGTGCACCAAGATGGCGCACAACCTGAACATGGTATTGTGTACCGGTTAGGGTTCAGGTCGTGTGACATCTTGGTACATATGCTTCTGGAGCGCCGTTTAGCCATAGTGGCCATTGTTTGGAAATCCCGCTAAATACTTAAAACTGCACTTGGAGGAGTAGATGGCGCTGCCTTTTTGCATGCTTGTTGTTATAGGAGAGAATTACAGTAGGTAGTTGATAAAGTATGCCACTCCGTTTCTAAATGCTGATTTACGCTTTTGTTTTGAAATGTGGATAGCGTTAAATATAGCGCAGTCAGAAAGGCACTACGTTTTAGTTTTTAGATGTCAAATTTAGTCTTTGACACACGGTAACGGTAGGCATATATTTTTACGTTTTCAACTCTGTATTATCAATTTCAAAATGTCTTCTAAAATTAAAATTGAGATAATCGTATGTAATTTTATCGTGATAAACGCAGGTGGAGATATGTTTTGCACTACACCGTGTGGAGCATTTATTTTTGTTGTGATCTTGTTTTATGTGATATCTTTCTGTCTTACTTTGATAATGTTTTATTTTAGTCAATTAGTGCACATGGCCGCGAAACAAAAACAAAATTGCAAGGGGTCCGTCAGACAATTTTTTTGAAAAAGTTTGGGAACCACTGGTCTAGAAGAAGGTTTGGCTCTTTACATTATCGTGAGGTTACAGTATTTCCATTAAGCCATATCCAATTTGAGGCTCAAATAAACGGACGAATGAAGCTTTGGTTGAAAAAGTTTTCAAAGAAAATTTCTAAATTGTGAACATGAATTACAATTCACAATGAAGACTATTGGGATTGAAATACTAATAAAAAAAAAAACAGATACTTCGCATATTCAGAAATTATGACAAACAAAAATCAGAATCGTAAATATGATTTCAACGGATGAATGCGTACACTTTTAACTCATTTTATTTATAGAAAAACTACTCCTTGACAATGACGCAAAAGTTGTCTTAACTGGATTCGGACATATGGATAGCAGCGTATGTCCTATAACTCGACGAACGTTCAACCCATCCAAAAATCTTCGACAAGCTTTACTACAAATCGAAAGACAACGAACGTATGTTATACAAATAAAAAACTATAATGTGCTGCATGACATTCTATTCACCATAGAATTAACACAAAGATCCATTTTTAAATAAAATTCCCAAGTTATAGAAATTTTTGCTTCATTGCAATGCTTTTGGAATCATTTCCAATATCATTGCGATCTGGGTAAATTTTGATGAAACTGTAAAATGGGAAACGTTGAAAATTGATCGCTTCCAACATAGCTTTTTCAGTATAAACTTAGGTTCAAAATTATTTCAATAACCTGGTGATATAGGCTGTATTGAAGCATTCTAACAACTAGTACAAGATTTTATGAAAATTATGAACAATTGAGCAGTTCTCGGTTTGATTGCTGTTGCGTTTTATTGTTTTAAAATACCCAGCATTCTCTTTTAGAGCGCCTCATCACCAACCCCCATAACAATCGTCATTATTAAAATTAGCATTATTGTAGAATAGATCCAATATCGAAGGTGGGTTCAATTTTGGCGAGCGTCCAATAACTAGGTAATCATATACAGGGTGGTCAGACCAAGTGTGGACAAATGTTTATTAAAATATCTACAACATAAATGTAAGAGAGAAAAAAAATATTTTGCAGAAAATAGCATTATAGAGATAAATATTAGAATTCGTTGTTATTTTTCGATATATCGTCCATGTGCCTTCATCACACGCCAGTGGCGGCGCGTGGTCATTTTGACAACCGGGGCAAGCTACTGCGGGACCAAGTCACCCCCATGTACGGGGACAGGATGAGCGCTGTAAGTTCTCCCATCATTTTATGTATAAAAACCATTCCATCGGTAAAACCAATCGGCAAAAGCGACAATTTTTAACGATAAGAAAGTGTCTTCAAAACCGGTCCAAGTTAAGGGATTAATAAATATAGACATAGTTTATTTTGAAACCTCTTTCAAAATGAAAGGCAATATTTACCCAGATAAATACAATGACATATTAACAGAAACTTCGGAAAAGCAGACAAAACCTAAAATAAGGTTTAAAACGTTACTATGAAGAAAGGAAAGTTAATGCAAAGATAATGACATGCGTCGCTCACTCATAGATATATATGCTGCTAGACTTCTACTGCTTGAACATGCAACACGCCGCGGTTTCTTGGAAGCAAAATGCTCAATAACGCGCTGATTAAAGTCATGCATCCCAGAAATAACGTCTCTGTGAATGGATAAAACAGCCAAGGAATTTAATCTATCTTGCTTCATTGTGTTTCTGAGATACGTTTTATTACGCTTCAACGTGCTGAATGTTCGCTCTGCGTCGGCGGAAGAAAGAGGCGTCGTCAAAATGATGTCCAGAAATTTTGCAGACGCCGCAAAGGTAGTGACTAGAGTGTTATCTATGAGGAACCCATAGAGCGCGCAAGTTGATGTGATGTTCAAAAAAGTTTGATTGGTGTATACTGTATATACATCGCAATTCATTTTCCAATTTACCCACGTTTATCATGGGGTAAAATTTGGAGACAGTAGCCAACAAATGGATGGGAAATTGACGTGCAAATTTTAAAAAATTTTTGGGGTTCATCAAAGAGAACGCGGCAAGGTGTTCAGTGCGCAGACGATCGCCTATTTGATTCACCAGAATGTCACAGCATTCCTTTGCAGACAAAATCAAACGCTGCGTTGTTTGCCCGCGGCGTAAAGAAGTACTCCATGTGTCGTCGTATTTTATTGTTTCCCGGATACGAGATACAGCATCGCAGAAGTCTGAAATACACGACTGCACAGACGCTCCATCCATTAGCCTTGACTGCAATGCGCCGTATAATACATCCACGTGATAGAATATTGTGGAGAAAAAATGAAAACTCACCATCTTCTAGCAGACGCTTCAGACCTGCCGCCTCCCTCACAGAGCGTTCGTCCCAAACCGGAGAGCTCTGAATGCCATTGAAACACTCAATGAGCTCAGACCTAATTTCGGACACGCCCTGCACCACGCGTGATTGGAAGTTCCAACGTGTTGGTGCACAAGCTGGGAGACGGCGGCTACATATCTGGCGAAGGAGGTCAGAGCGCTTCGGCGAAACGGAAAAAAATGAAGAAAACCCCGAAACATTTGCAAATAATATACGGGGTATCAAGACACATATTTTTAATAACGAGGTTAAATTGGTGTGCATGACAATGTAGAAAATGCGCATGAGGAAAATCTTCTTTTATATAAACTTGAACATCATGTTTCGACCCACTCATGACTGCCGCGCCGTCATAAGTTTGAGCTATCAATTTTGACTTCGCGTTGTATCGCCGCTCGATAACCAGAATTGGTTTTCGGCGTCTCCTTTCACCCTGGAATGCGGTCTTTTATATTTCCTTTATCTGTGTATGTATAATTCGTACTTTCAGCTTGGTGAAGAAATAAATTACTGATTGTAAGGCTGTAACACTTCTTTCAGTACAGCCGATATCCCGCAAGCCGTGCGATCAACGATTGGTACAAAGCTGTGAAATCTTTCGGTAGGTTCACCATCTTTCACAAACCGAAAAATCACAGCCAGTTGGGAAACGCACGTGATGTCAGTTGTCTCGTCAGACTGAATCGAAAGGAACTGGCAATTCTCAATTTCCAGAGTCAAATGTTGTACATAAATTTTATACATTGAGTCGAGCAAATCATTTTGGATATCCTTAGATGTCCCTTTCGAAACAGTTGCGGCATCAAGATGATCTCTCGATACTGTATCTAGGGATGCGGTGTATTCCACCATATCCAAAAATACCCCTCTATTAGAAGAGCCAGCCCGTTCATCGTGCCCACGGAGGGACAGCTCGTGACAACCAATGAACTTCAAAACATCTATCAATCGACCGAGAACATGGCGGTTTTTCTCGACGTTTTGGTTGTGCCGACGGATAGAAACCGCGCGTCCTGTATCCAACTGTGCTGCAATATTAACATTTCCGAATGTCCGGTATTTTACTGCATTGTCCAGATGCTCCATAGAAGATTGATGATCCCTGGTACGCTCGGAAATATGTTTAAGATCTCTAAAACCAAATTTACACCAACGTGAGTCACGGGTGGTAGCAAAAAGTAGGCAATAAAAACAAAAAAGTGCATTTTTGTCCTCGCTGTAACACAACCATTCGTGTTTTTTATACCAAGTTTCTGCGCAGAATCTACGCCGACGCTTTCCTCCGTCATGGGATTGTTCCAGTGAACAATTTTTTGGTTGATAAGGCCCAAGACGTTGTACCTCTAATTTTTGTTCCAGCGGCAGCTGCGAAAACGGAGTGCGAAGTAATGCATCAACCTTATTCATTATGAGGTCTAAGGCTAAGAAATGCGAAGCCGAAAAGAAGTGAGGAGCTCAAAAGGAATGTGGAAAATCGAAAGCAAATGGACTAAAGGGGTCTAACTGATTCAAATAGCGAAACAAGCGACAAAAACGTGCGTGAATATGTCAACACGTTGTTGTAAGAAACGTCGGCATTGTGTCGTCATAATTTCGGGGCTAGCCCCGATCGGCCCCGATGATTTAGTGAAAGAAACAGAAAACAAACGAGACAAACGCGGCGAGTGGAAGATAAAAGAGAGAATACGATATACAATGAGCAACCGGGGCAAAATCGGCGTCGCCCCGTCGACGTTCGGCGAAGGCTTTGCGAGCGAAAAATGAACCATGTCGGGAGAATATGGCTAGTGTAGACAGTCTGTGCAACCGATATTGAGGTATTTTTCGAATATTTTTTATTATACCGAAAAAACAACCGGGGCATTGCCCCGGTTGGCCCTATTGACGCGCCGCCGCTGCCACACGCCCTAATGTGATTGGAACTTGAATGCACGAGGCACGTATGGTGTCCTCCAAAATTTTTTGGACTTGGAGCAAGTATTCTCAGTCTGAGTTACGCGCACCACTAGTGAGACACGGGAGTTTTTCAAGTAGTACGAAAGCATCTTTGAATTTTTGCAACAATTAACTTTTGTATTCGCTAAACGGCGTTTAACGCGCTACCAACCGTTGTCTTTAGAGAACACCTTTGCCCGTTACTGTCCACCTGTAACGTAACAGGCATGTTTTTGCCATTTTGCGCGTCACAATACATCTTACCATAACCACTAAATTATCCGAAACCTCGTATAGGCCTCGAGCCGAGGCCATTTATCTTTCAGTTTCGTAGCGCACATAAGGTAACTACCTGAAAATGATTTTAAAATGTTTCTTAGAAATTTAGTAACAAATATTGACTTGTTCCCACTTCCAAAAGTTGCACGTTCTACAGAAAAGACGTTTTTACTACAATAAATATGTGTTACCATCTGTCCTATTTTCTCTGCTTTTCCGGTATCATGGGCCAATGAACGCAGACTTCTGCATGACGTAACAATCAACTTAGCCAGCTGTAGGTGGATCCCCAGTGGTCGGATGAATATCAGATGTACTACTACTGCTCGCTTTTGCGTTGAGTAGCCTTTCCATAGTTTTTTTCAGTTATTATTAGTTCAGTTATTCTAAGCAGGTGTTGAAAAGTATAAGTAAGATATTAAACACTTGTATATCCTTACCATAAATAGCAATTTTAGTTGAGCACTAGCTCATAAGACGTTGTTAAATAGGTACGGTGCGGTAACTCCAAGGAAGGCTAGACCTAGAATAATATGTCACAAACAACGATATTTTCTGGCTTGCATGAAATGTTTATGATTAATTTAATGACTCTTCTTGACTATTCAGCAGACTTATACTACTATATAGGCCACAGCATATTTGGAAATAGAAATTAATGGTTGTTTCTGTAATGCACGGTTGTGTGAAAGAGAAGAAAATAATAAATTTTACTAATGTCGGTTGGTCTAAATCTAAATTCATAGAGTCGACAAGAACCTGGGAAGCAATGATAAGTTATGCCGGAGTGGAAAGAAGAGTAGCATTGGAAACTATTGAGAGGTGAGAAATCAAGTTGTAGACAGACAGTTGATGTTTTAAAATATAGTCTATAGTCCATACATCCACTGTCATAGGGCATTTCAGACTGATATATCAAAATTTAGTGTAGATATAGCCTAGTCTAGTAATGGTATGCAAACACTGCTGAACTGTAGTACATGCAATGAGCATATATACGCTCATTGAGTACATCAGATAAAATGCATTATGTATTCAAGGTTAACGAGGCATTAATAAAGGAAGCTGAGGAATTTGTTTGTTCACTGTATGAAGAGGATATGAAGCATGTAAATGATACCAGGACACGTCTATTTAACACTGGCAAACATAAGGATTATACTCTTCCCACCCAACAATGATTCACTGAAGAGGCATGTGGCCCTCAAATCAGTTCTTGAGTTGGCAAACTGCAAGTGTAAGAAAAATAGTCAAAAATAATTTATGCAAGTCTGCCAAAATCAATTTAAATTGCACAGATTTTTGTTTTTGTATTGACTGCAAAAATCACAGTACACTTATAGAGGAAAAGTCGATTTTCGAGATAGTGGATTTCGAAAACAATTCAGAAAAAAGTGAATTAGATATTGCAGTTGATTTAATAAGTATCATTTATTTGTTTTTGTTTTTGGACATTTGTTAGTGTCGTAGTCCTGTTTCTAGAAATAATATTGCCTTTGTTCAAATACATAACCACATAAATTAAAAAAAGACTAATTGTAATATTTCTGTTCACTATGTTATGTACATATTGTACATTCATTTAATTTTCTTGACTTTTCCGGTAAATTTCTAAGTGGGAAATAACTGATTTATTTGTGTTTTCGTGCTCACGATGTTAATTTGTGACTTCATTGCTTAAAAATAAATACGTTTGATAGCTTCTATAAAATGGATGTAGCTTTTTATGCTGTTCTTGTTGTAAACTGCTTGTGGTTATTACATAAAATTTATTCGCTAATGTGAATCAGCGTTGTTGGTGTCGCTGCTTTGGAGGTCACTCGCGACTCCTGTCACACAATTAAAGTATTTTTTGTTGTTGGTTACGTGTATGCCATATTTTTTGTAATCTACCTAATAAATTATGATTGACTGAGGAAGTCCGATTTTGGTCAGGCAAAACATTACAGGAATACATTTGTGTTAGTGTGCTGTAGGGCTCTCGAATTACATAGTTCTTATGTATGTGCTGTAAACTTATGGTTATTGAATTTCCGGGAACCTCTTATATTCAATTTTGCATCAGGATTGTGGAACAAGCTGTAATGCGTTCAGTATGTTCATTTTCACACAAAACTGAAGAATTTATTTAGTTATCAGATGTGCGCTACGAAACTCATTTTCTGGGCGTTTTCATGCTTCGTCTCACGGCCCATATCCGTGGTAAGGATCTACAAGTGTTTAATAACTTACTTATACATTTTTCAACAACGTCTTAGCATAACTTAACTAATAATGACTAAACAGGGCTATGGAAAGGCTGCCCAACTCAACGCAAGGTCGAGCAGTAATAACTAATATTCATCCGCTCGCTAACAGCTGATTCGATTCAATTGTTACGTCATGCAGAAGTCATTGTTCATTGCCGAAAATGTAGAGAATATAGGACAGATCGTAGCACATATTTCTTGTAGTAAAAGCGTCTTTTCCGTAAAACGTGCAACTTTTGGAAGTGAGAACAAGGCAATATTTGTTACTAAATTTTTAAGGAACATTTTAAAATCGTTTTCAGGTAGTTACCTGATGTGCGCTACGAAACTCACTTTCTAGGCGTTTTTCAGGGCCTCGGCTCGCGGCCTAGTACGAATAGAGATGCATACGCACTATGACGTAACACGGAAAACATGCCCTTACCGTTTTTGGTGTACAGTAACATGCGAGGGCAATCTCTAAAGACAAGGATGGGTAGAGCTCTTCAGCGAATACAAAAGTTAATTGTTGCAATAATTCAAATCTGCTTGCGCACCACTAGTAGTGAGCGTACCCCAGGTTGAGGACAACTGCTCTATAACATAGTTTGATGACTTGTTGGGACAAAATTTTGGAAGAAACCGTACGTGTCTCGTGCAGTCAAGTTTCAAACAGATAGTGGGTAATGAAGGCAAAGATAGGATATATCGAAAAATAACAATGAATTCTATTATATATCTTTATAATGCTATTTTCATGCAAAATAATTTTCCACTTACATTTATATTGTAGATATTTTAATATACATTTTTCTACACTTGGTCTAATCACCCTGTATATGACTTACAAATACAAATAATTACCTATAAAACCGTTAATACTTTTTTAACATTTTATTTGAAGAGAAGTCTATTAAAAAAAGGACTAGTGATAAGAGTTTTTCTTTCAACTAAATCCATATCGTCTCGATCTGCCTAGTTCACAATGGTGAAAAAATATTTTTGTTAATTTGGCTCCGAAGAGAAATATTCTGAATCCCGATATTCAGAATTATACCAGGGGTCAGGAAACTAATTAACTTCTACTAATTTTTTCACGTCTTCTATCTTTAGGAACAAAAATAATCGAAATTATATCCTGAAAAGGTTACTTAACCTCTTCATTTATTACGGATTCTATATGCTTTAGCTGTGAACAAAGGGCAGACGAAATAAGACTTAACGAAGACCTCGAAACTTTCACGTTTACAGACAATATGTTTTGTTGCAAATCTGGAGATTCAAATAAAATAATTGGTTCCAGTAGAGGAGATGACGGAGGACCTGTAGTGAGAGAAGTAAGTAAATTATTTTTAAATTACAAAGACCGACCAAGAGTGCAAACGTATTTAATATAATTAGTAGTGTATCAATCTAATCATTCACTAGAGAACAATTAAAAGGTTTTCGACCCGAAAAATGTCTCCCCTGATTTACCATTGTCAATTTTATATGCCTATTTCGCGGCACAGGGTTTGGTTCTCATTTTTTGAAGCAAATTCAAACAAAGTAGTAAAGCATGATCACGAACTTGAAGGAAAAAACGGTACAAATTGTTTTAATGCAATTCAATATGTCGAAACAGCATTCTATGTTAAAAGATAATATCTCACCAGGTTATGATATCTGTGGCGATTAAAGGATAATTTTACTGCCCAATAAGGAAAGTTAAGATTTATCGGCATTTTGATATGAAAGTCAGTAATATTGCATAAATGGATTTTTTACCCCAAGTGTAAGGCAGTACTAACCATCTGGTAGACGTGTATTATTGTATTGGTTTGCTTGAGCTGTCAAAACCATGTTTCCCAACCTTTTTTGATCGCGGACTATTATCTCACCTGCGAAAACATTTGCGGACTCGAGGTGCGTTTATTGCAACCGTACTCTGCGTGAAGAAACAATAAATACAAACAACAGATTTGAACGAATTTCAAAATTGGAAATTCGCTGCAATTATATGTTTGTTGAAAGAGACGACTTTTTCATTGTATAATGGCCTTTTCTGTCGAATAATATTCAATCCATGACAACGACGAGAATTTGAAATGTCTTTCTACTTTACTTTATTTGTGTTCTTGGTAACTCGCGGTTGCGTCGACTTACGACAAGATGAAAGGAATTACTTCTTTAAAAAAAAAACACGGCAATCTACGAACATAGTAATGTGAGAATATATTGCCCAATTATATTTAGTTTTGAGAATCATTTTTTGCAATCTTGCGAATTTGTCATCGCCGTTAGAAAAATCCTACTATCTGCTATAAATTTCCATAAAGTACAACTTGATTTAGTATTTATTAAAATATATTTAAAGTATATTAGTAAATCAAAAATACATATTCATCGCCTTGCTTCATTATTAATTTAATTGTGATCATTTTAATCTGCGGTTGTGTTGACGAAATAAAAGCAGTACTACTCAGAAAATACCATGGCAATCTTGGACACAAGAATGCGTGGTAAAATGCCTGATTATATTTTGTTTTGATTCGTATTTTTGTGAATTCGACAAATCTGAGCTGTTCGGCGCTTCAGTACTGTACGTACCAATGTGGAGGCAGTAAAGCAAAGAAACAGAAATGCCCCGGTACGTTTACTACGGTAGTAACCGAAGTTTTGCGATTTGCAATGTCTAAAAAAGCGGTTTTAATCGTTCGCGGACCATCATAAATCAAAACGTATGGTCTTCTCCGTTGTATTCTGTATTGCCGCTTTTCAATTTAGAAAATTTGGGTTGCGCCTTTAACACTTCCAAAAAACAAATTTATTCCTCTTTGTTCGAACTCGCGAGAAACACCACTTACGTATCTATCGACGCGTGTGCCGACTCGTGTTTCTGTTGGAAATCCGCAAGTGAGTTGTGTAATCTAATCGTTTGAGTAAGCGACGCGCACGTGACCTGTCGCGTCACCTGTTACCAAATTTTCGAATAGTAAATTGCTATTCTAATAGTTGAATATTCGAATATACACCCAGCCCTACTCAGTAACCAGTAATTATTGACTCGATTAATATTATGTAAATAAACTTGCTTTTTAAGTTTTATATGAATTCTGACGTAAATCATAACTTGGCTGATAGTTAAGTTTCGCAAAAACGTTTGCGGCCCGCAGTGAATTTCTTCTGGCTCGTTGCGGACTTATTCATTCAAACGCTCCGCGGACTCATTTGACACCGCGGACTCGGGTCGGGAAACACTGGTCTAAACTATGACATTTGAATCTCAAATACATGACTCGACTATTGGTAAGGCGTAGCACCGAGTTCGCTGAGCAAAATAAAGCAGCGACCAAAGTGACTGAGGCGGCCACGCTTGACGCAATTGAAAGGAGTTGCCGTGAATTGAAACAAAGCATCAATATTGTGGGAAAATATGGGATTTTCACATCTCAGAGGTCTCAAAGAGGTCTCTCTAAATAAAAAATAACTTCAATATCCTTTTGTCGACGTCTTGTATCTTCAAGTGTTGAGAAATTGTAGTTAATTGGTCTATCATTTGCGGGTGAAAACGATCTTTCTTCTAACAAGAAGACTAAAAACTACAACAACAAAACAAGCAATCCATATGGACATTTCTTTTCAAATGGACAAGAAAGTGGGGTGGGGTAAAAGTAATATGTGCAATTTTTAAAAAGCATATCAGAAACAATGTAAAATACCAAAACCCTTAATATTGAAGTACAATGTGCTAACACGAACGGTGGCATTCGTCGACCCAATGTCGCCAATATCGATCAACAGATAACTTCCATAGTAATATTTTATCCCACAGATTCATAAGGAAAATATTGAAAGAGTAGCATTGAGGCACTTATTTTTTTTAGTACCGAACAACTCCAAAATCAAAAAATAGGTGACCCCTGTTCATGTCAAATTCCAGCTGTAAAACCAAGTAATTATCTCACTCCACCATTTGCTCAAATTGTTCACGTAAATACATATATACGGTATATATAAATTTTTTATAAAGCTGTTGCAACCCAACTGTGGCATGCCGTCAGAGACTACAAGTCTTTCTCAGGATGCCCAAAAAGATTTGCTTAGTATTATTATGGTCAGAACTAATAACATGTTATGCAGAAAGCGAAACAATAAATGTTTTGAAATTGTTTCTTATTAGTATTCATATTTCTGCCACTCAACAGATCTAAATGAACTTATTACATTCTAGGTGAAAAGTGTTCAGACTGGAGATTCATGTTGGGTCCAAGTAGGAATAGTAAGCTTTGAATATGAATGTAATTTAAACTGTCCGGGATATTACACAAATGTTGCAAGATACATTCCTTGGATTCAATCAAAAACTGAAGCATAATACAATTATTATACTTAAGATTGAATTAAATTTTTATTTTATCAGTTGATTTCTAAGATCTTTCATATGATGATCATATCAAATTATTTTAAAGTTGATGCTCAAGGCGAATTTAGGTCCCGGTTTTGATTGATCATTTCCTAATTTAAAAAATATCACTAAAAGTAGTTCATCTTTTTTTTGCTACCCTGGTATTGTTAATACAATATTAAGTATTCCAAATATATTTCTTATATATATTCAATGGTTCCATTACATTTGAACCCACGTACATTTGAACCCATGACAATTGCACCTGTATGCTATTGCACCTATGGAATTTTTTTTGTTTCACGGTTAGTTAAACCCATACTAACCTATTCAATTTCAACTGGTATTTATTTTTATTTAACAAAGATTATATGTAGAGTCTCAGTGATAGCTTACGACTACCCTTTGCTCTTCTATACGTTTATTATTCCAGATCTCGGAATTCCATATAAAAACACACAAGATATATACTATACGTATGATGTAAATAAATATCAGTGTTCTTGAAAATCAATGTCGCGACTCTGTTTTGAGCAAAACTTGTATACAAACCATCTACCCTGTGAGTTTTTAACCATTTAAGTGTTCTTTGTATTTCAGTCAAAGACGTAACAAGAATCTGGCCGAATCATCCTCATATCAACTCAACTTAATATATCTCCTTTGTGACTGACAAAAATACACTAGCACTAAAGCAATAAATAAGACGGTTTGGCATTGTCACAATTAGCTCATTTTTTATTTGTTTACCCCCAATTTAGGCAAGAAGGTATATTAATATTGAAATGTTGTTTTGATGATTTGTTTCAAACAACTTTTTAGAGTTTCTCACTCTAATTATTAGGAACATTATTAATTGTCATACATGACCGTTTAATTTTAATATAAACGAACAAAATTCATCCAGTACGTCATTAAGTCCGTCGTGGAATCTGGCTTAGCGGAACGAGGAATGAACTCGTTTATTCGATCCTATGGGCCCCACGTTGTTTCGTATCTTAATGTTTACCTGTCGACAGCTGATCTTAGAACATTACCGTTTTACGTTACCTTTTGTAGGGACATACTGCAGTTTTTGTTAAAACCATATATATAAATATACTTTATCATGCAAACATAACCAGAGAGTTTAAATTTCAATCGATTTATGCGTCACTTTTAAGTTGAAACTTTCCAGTCAATCTTCTTAAACTCTCTTTTGCGGCGATTGAATATATGAAATAAATTCTTATGCGTACACAATGGTCTTTATTTTTAGGTAAATGCTTTAATAAGAATTCTGAGCCAATGTTTGCTTTTGCAAATTAAGATGACGTCATAGCGAATGACGCCATAGCAAAACAAATATTCAAGATTTCTAGACAACTATCCTGAGGTTAGCGAAACAATTGTTGTCATGAATATCCGCATGTAAGCAGTACAAAAGTTAATGTGACTTGTGGCATCGCAGACAACTCTGGTTAAAAGTCCATGCCTCCCCACCTCACTCAGTGTGTAATAAATATGGTCGCAAATTCTAAACCTGAAAGATTTCGGTTTTTACACCAAATTGTATCTCGTTACTTATCGCTAGGCATCAATGGCTGCTTGTACAGGACCTTGTTCTGAGCAGAAGGCATGAATAGACGTCGTTTAAAAATTTAAATAGTTTGCTACTGCGATTCTGAACTTGCGTAACTTCGTGGCTTTACTCAAAATATGTCCATGTTGGAGACCGTCTGATCCAAATGGGCCATTTGTTACGCGATTCTAACACTATTTTTTACTGAAGGCACGAATATTTAAAAATTTCTGCTGTTTGTGAAATCCAAACTCAATTTTGTATTCACAGTCAGAACTTAGGCCACCGCAACCTATGTGGGCCTTGCAATATAAATTATAACTTGGTATAATTTTAATTATATCGGAATAATAATTATACGGAATGACTTTGCCATAAGCTCTAAGTTACCTTAATCATAGTTTTGTCTTTGGATAAAATGTAAAGACGAATTAATTTACTTTATCAAATCTTAATGTTCAGTCATTATTTTCATCCTTAATCATATTAGGGATCTCGCAACTCTATTCGCATAGGACGTCACAATAACTAAGGCCACCTACGTATAATGAGTAATGATATTTCCATTTTTGTAGATGTAGTCACTAAGATTTCGAACGTCTGAAAATATTGACATCGTGGCAACTACTATTAAACGTATTGTTTCTTTTATTTGCATCACTTCGATATTGGTTGTTTTGATGGTCTACATAACTATTCACCAAATTTTTATATTCATAAGGAAAGGCTTATACAAAAGAAAGTTTCGAAGCTAGAGAGACATTTCGAAGTCGTCGAATCTAAGTGTCATTATGAATGTCACTATCATTCTTGCAGGATTATTTGGTATAGCAGCGAGCATTTGTGGTATCGCACGATATTCCTATGTTAGAACGGATGCACTGTAACGATGTATATTTGACGACACGGAAATAATGTCTAAAGATGATATATCTGAGAAATGTTATCATATAATCGTTCGAATCTCTTCAAACCTATATGTTAGCATATTGGCTTTATACATTGGCTTTACAACGTTTATCTACATGATATTGTGGTTTCGTCAAACGATGTTCAGTACGGAGAAAACTGCCGTCCGATTGTTTGAAAAAATTTGGTTATTTTCAGAGATTATTTATAATAATATCTGCTATTGTCGTCGGAATACCTTGGATATTATACTTACTATATATATTTAGACTACACTATTATAATGTTATTGGGGATCCAACTTGAAATACACATTGGATTGCTGACTCTTCTCCTGACTCCTTTAATCAAGCACCAACGTAGCTCCAAGTATTTGCATCAAAATCAAAGACCCCCGGATCATGTAAGATTAATGAAGCGATCTATCGCGGCAGCCATTGTTGCGAATATAACAGACATAGTAACACTCGGGATTTCACTCGGTTTTCAATTTCATTTTTTGTCTGTAAATACTTTCATCAATATGTGTTGTGTTTTATTCTGTTTTGCAGATTGGAAAACAAAATTTCCTCTGTGTATGTAAAAGGGATAGCGAGGCAGCTGAACAAGTTTCTCCAAATTGTAACATACGTGAAGAAACACTATAAATCATAATATCATCCCTGTTTTTGTTTTGTGTTTATTGGTGGACATTAATGGGGAACATTTTTTGTTAATACTACTTGAAGTTACTTTTTTTTAAGTTCTACTTGCTGTAATTATTGAGATATTTTGAAAGCAAATAAACAGTTTGCAAATAAAGTTGTGAGTAGGATCGGGGTTTACGGGTTGACTTCTTCCAGTGTTCAGTTTGAAATCGACGAGCCAAAACTCGGTTATTTATAACACCATAATAAGCTATCATATTGTAAAACAGATACTTCTACGATGTCTGAGATGTAATAGTCAGAGTAAATTTATTTTCCCAACTGTTTTGCAAATCGCATTCAAAATGACGAGAAACATAAAGGTATACACGCGGTTATAATAGGGATGAAAGCTCTACAAACAAGTTGATCATCGAGCTAATCAGATAACGATGTTAAACTTAGCATTATATTTCAATCGGAGGGTGTCTCAGAAATGTTGCATTCCCCCAAGCCATGGCCGGAGTTAGACGACGATATTCCCTAGACCAGGGATACTCAACTATTTTTACCAAAGATTCGTGTACAAAACTTCTAAGTATCTGGGGGTCCGGTATTTCCAGAAATTATATTTCGACCTCCTTAAACGTGCTAATCCTCGACCGCGGTCCGCCAGTTAGGAGCCCTGCACTGGACTACGCTATTTGCTAGGCCTTTTTTTAGGAATGAAGATTACCTGTTTATATTATGAGGTCATAATACGTCCGTAATAATCTAAAAAGTTTATGACGTCATTTTTTTCATAGAATTTTGTGAAGTGCGTAATTTAGTTGCATGCAGATACATACGTTAATCACCATAGTAGATTGGATTTTAAGTTGAATTCAAAAACATTACAAGATCTCAAGGCTGTAATGTAACATAATGGCGAACTTTTTCAGTCCCATTATTTGAAAATCATGATATTGATTAAGTTTTATTGAATATACACTATTTGTCATATTTTACGATATTTGCAGGTATGTGGAACTCCGCCTTCAAAACAAACTATTTAAAGATCCTTCTCTCCGTCTCATCAAACTATTTGGTCGTAAAAACGCGTTTGAAAGATAAAATCGGACCTTGGGATATTTTGTTAGTGTCCGCACATAAAATTCAGTGGCGATTTCAAATACGAAACGCTTTTAAAGGGAATCCACGTACGGAAGCATGTTAAACAATTTAGTAATTGCGTGTATTTATATAACGTATATATTGGCGGTCTCTGATAGAATAGGATTTCTATAATAATCCAGAGAGATAAGAAAGTCGATAGGACGATTTATTCAAGTGGCTAGTCACTAGTGTGTTGGGCTAAGTTTTAACTTGTATATTTTCGTTTATTTCTATCGCGCATTAGTAAAACGCGGCGTCACTAAGCTGTTGATATAATGGAAAGATGTATTGTACATGTCTTCGGCGAACAAAGTCTTCTATATGTAACCAGTGTCTGTTATAATGTTCATTTATTATGCAGCTGTTGTTACATATTCATCACTTCTGAATGATCACTTGTCAGCTTTTGTAATTTTTGTTAATTGTATCGGATTTCTATTTCTCCATTCTCAATAGATAAAAGTGAAAACACGCGAATTTCACATATTTTAAACTTGAGCTAGGCCTTCAGGACGTTCAGGTACCATTTTAAAGCAATTGTTTTTGATTTTCTCCACTGACATGACAAAAGTCCTGAAAAAAAGTGAAAAATGTGATTATGAAATTACAATTGGAAAGAGAACATTTCTAGTTCATCGCTCGGTTTTACGAACTCATTCCAGATATTTCAGAAATAAATTTGAATCGGAGATGTCGGAGTCTAAGGAAGGGTTTTGTGA